TATTCGTGCTCTTGAATGAGTTGTGTCAGGAACAGGATGGGAATAATGGGAGAAGGCTTGCGAGTGTGTTGCCAGCACACTCATTCAGACAGAGGCACGTGTGTTAACGGCCCTGTTTTGCACAGCTGTGCCTGATTCATCGCATCTCTCTCTCCCTTTCACTGACATTACTAGCTGTGTCATGTCATGTGCCCTTTGCGATCTGATGACTCTCGAGGTAAATTATAATTGAGAATCGAACATCACGGGTAATGTTATCGCTTGCTTTGCCAGCTTGAGCTTTCTGATGAGAAACACTAGGATAAACGACTAATAAGGAAGTAAAGACGTGGCATTCAATTAAGAAAATAAGGGTGCTTTGCACAAGGTAACGACAAGCATATCAAAGCTCAGATTACCCCTTGGTGGTCTTAAAATCACGTTAAAGATGGAAAAATTAGGATGTGTTTATTTTTCTATGTGTGCATCATTTTATTATTATATTGTTTTTGTTATTAATGTTTATTACTATAACTATACATATAGCTGTTTATAAGGCACCAACCTGCAACTGATTCTTTAGCACTGTACAATAAGTAGACAACAAAACAAGTTGGACGTACAGGAGCAGAAAGTGGTCAGGGCCCTGCTGAAACGAGCTTACAGTTTACTTACACAAAAGGTAAAAGTATGTCATTTCATAAATAACAAAAAATTGGTTGCAAGAGTTACAGAAACTGAGCTCTATGGAGATCAAATATCGTCCTTAGAGGGAAAAAAAAGATAGCAGGTTAATGCCATGTAGGGAGAGAAGAGGGAAGGAAGGTTATTAACTGTTTAATTAAAATGCCTTTTTAAGTGCATTTTTCAGTATTTTTTTAAAGGCTTTTAAACTGTGGTAGAGTCGAATGGAGCATGGAAGGAATACCATAGGACTGGTGCAGCCCTAAAAAAAGTCTTAAAGGTGAAAGCTAGATGTGCAACTATGAGCAAATGGCAGATCCAGGTCTTTAGCTGAGCAGAGACGCCTGGATGGGACATATTTATTAACAATGATAAGTAGATAAGGATGTTATGAAGCGCTAAGTAAGCACTGGGATGTTGCATGGAGCCTTAAAGGAACAGTATAGTGACAAAAATACACTATAGTTATAGTGTCACTATAGTTATGAAAACACAATTTCACCCGTAAGCAATTTAAAAGGTGAGTTTACTCATCTTTATAACTGCACCGTGCAGGTTCGTTGATTGACAATATCAGCAAATCCATAGGAAAGCATTGGCAAGCTATTGCAAGCATGGGCGTCCGCAGTAATTTTTCCGGGGGTGGGGGGGGGGCATAATTGTAATGACATCCATGCTTGGTACCTTTTTGACAGTGTCATGAAAGGGAAAGGGCATAGCCATTATCACATAAAGCCAGGGTGAATAGCGTTTTCACAACTATGGTGTCAGGAATATATGTTTGTATTCCTGACACTATAGTGTTCCTTTAAGCAAATTAAAGGACATTTCTGGTCACCATAACAACTTCACCTAAATGAAAATGCTATGATGCCAGGAAGCCCCTGGGTGCTCGCTTTCCTTTAAGGGGTTAAATCACTCTCAAATGGTTTAACCCCAAAGGCTTCCTCCAGCTCCAGGTCGCTCAGTGGTATTTGGCTTCTGAAACAGAGTGTCAGGAAGTGCAGATTGACGTCAGGCATGGGTGCTGCTGATTGGCCAGAGTGGACAGTTGATGCTCTAAGCCAATCGCTACTTCCTGGTTCATAAAATATTTTTACTTTTTTATGAATGGGGAGCTACTGATTGGCTTAGAGTGCCAGCTGACCGCTCTAGCCAATCAGCAACACCCCTACCCAACAGCACTCTGTGCTTCCTGACACTCAGTAAATAAAAGTGAATACATTAATACTGTTTTTTTTTACCTTTGGAGATGAGAAGGTCCAGCGTTTCCCTGCCTGGCCCAGGTACCAAAGCCTTATGATGTGGTGTCCAGAATAAAGTGGAGGGTTCACTTCATTTGTCCTTTCTGCTCCAGTCTCCTTTTCCTCTCCTTCATTTGACAGTCTTTTTTTTTCTTCTGACACTGTTTTCTATCCTTGGCCTCTTCTGCTCTTTTACCTTTCTGCTACTTTCTGCTTATTTTGCGCCCTTCTGCTCCTTTCTCATTCTGATCCCTTTCTGCTCCTTGCAGACCTTTTCTACTTTACCTTTGTGCTCCTTGCTGTCCCTTTCTGCTCTTTCTCCTACTTTTCCTTCGTGCTCCTTCTGATTATTTCTGCTCCTTTACCTTTGTGCTCCTTGCTGTCCCTTTCTGCTCCTTTACCTTTGTGCTCCTTGCTGTCCCTTTCTGCTCCTTGCTGCCCCTTCCTGCTCATTCTCCTACTTTACCTTTGTGCTCCTTCTGCCCCTTCCAGCTCATTTCTGACCCTTTCTGCTCCTTCTACTTTAATTTTGTGCTGCTTTACCTTCCAGGTCCTTGCTGACCCTTCCTGTTCATTTCTGTTCCTTTGTGCTCCTTCTCCTACTTTACCTTTTGTGCTCCTTGCTGTCCCTTTCAGCTCCTTGCTGCCCCTTTCTGCTCCTTGATGTCCCTTCCTGCTCATTTCTGTTCCTTCTCCTTTTCTTACCTTACCTTCCTGCTCCTTGCTGACTCTTCATGTAGGTTGTCTCCCCCATCCCTCACTTCTATAGGCGTGCGCACGGGGTGTGTCGGGTGTACCTGGGCACAACCTAATCCCTGCGGCACGCCAATGGATTGAGACCAGCAGGGGAGATCTCTGGATCTCCCCGGTCGGCTCATGCAGAGCCGACGCTATCCAAGCGGCAGCAATGGTCTAAGCCTCCATGGGCTGGTGGGGAGATCAAAGTTCTACCTCACCGGTCCACAGCAGCATGGAGGGAGGCAGCAGAGAACCCGGGCTAGAGTTCATTCTCCACTGAACCACCAGGGAAGGCAGCAGGACTGGGATATTAACTAGTCTGCCCCCACCTCCACCCAAACATACAGCACACACAGCCCACAAACAGCACCCACACACACACACAGCACCTACACACATACATCACCCTCGAACACAGCACCCACACACATACAACACCCACACACACCCAGCACACTAATAGCATCCTCACAAACACACAAAACCCACACACAACACCCACACAACACCCGCACACAAACAGCACACTAACAGGACCCGAACAAACACGCACACACAAACACCCTCTCACACACAGCACACTACCAGTTCCCTCACAAACCGCACCCTCACACACAGCACACTAACAGCACCCTCAAACACACACACACAGCAGTGTGTGTGTATACATATATATATATAACAGATATATATATATATACACACACACACACATACATTTACACGTGGCTTGTGTTTTAGGGTGCACACCCTAATGCAATAGGCTGCGCATGCCTATGCTCACTTCCCTAATCTATAGGCTGCCCCCCCATGCCTCACTCCCCTAATCTATAGGCTGCTGCCCCCCCAAATCTATAGGCTGCTGCTCCCCCCCAAAATCTATAGGCTGCTGCCCCATAGGCTGCCTTTAAATCTATATAGGCTGCTCCCCCCCAAAAATCTATAGGCTGCTGCCCCAAAAAATCATAGGCTGCTGCCCCAAATCTAAACGCTGCCCAAATCTATAGGCTGCTGCCCCAAAAATCTAGGCTGCCCCCCAAAAAAAATCTATAGGCTGCTGCCCCAAAAAATCTATAGGCTGCCAAATCTAGGCTGCTGCTCCCCCAAATCTATAGGCTGCTGCCCAAAAAAATCTATAGGCTGCTGCCCCCCAAAAAATCTATAAGCTGCTGCCCCTCCCAAATCTATAGGCTGCTGCCCCCCCAAAATCTATAGGCTATCTCAAACCCTCCCCCCACTTACCTGATCTGTAGGCTCTCTCTGGCTGCATGTGTTGCTCCCCTGCGGTTTCAATCAGCAGAGAGAAGCAGGGATAAGATGCAGCTTCCTATCCCTGTCTCTCTCCATACACAGCGCCACCTACTGGCCGGCGCCGGTATTGCAGTTCATTCTAAATCTCACACGAAAAAAGCAGAACAAGCTGAAAAATCCGGGGCAATGAACATCTTAATTCGTCTCCATGAGAAACATCCAGTGCCTCCATGCAGAGCGTGGAGATGCTGAACGTCATTGCTGCACACTGTGCAGCACTGAACCAGGAAGCTCCTCTAGTGGTCGTCTGAGTGACTGCCACTGGAGGTATCCCTAGTGTTGAAGACTATAGTGTCCATATTTTCTAGAATGCAAGATATGCGAGTAGAAGCAGAGGGCAGATGCAGGTCTTTCACAAAGCAGAAATGTAATGTAATGAAGCACTTTATACATAAGAAATAAGATTTTAAATGCTACCCTAAGGAAGCCAGTGTAAAGAATGTGGCTTAAACAAGAACCTTAGCTGCATCTGGTATTAGACAGTGGTGAAATCTAGTTATGTTTTTGAGATGGAAGGAACAGGATTTAATGATTGACTAGATGTGATTAGTGCAGAAGAGGATTAGATTGAAAATGCCAAGGCAACGACCCTGTGGAGTACAGTTTATGGCAGCATTATTGACCAGAAAGGAAACTTACAAAGGGGTAGTAGGATTTGAAGGAGGAAAGAGGAAAAGTTCTGTTTTGGAGATATTGGGTTTAAGGACGTGAACTGTCATTCAGCTGGAAATGGCAGAGAGGTAGTTGGAGACATAATTAAATTGGGGAGGAGAGAGATCAGGGAAATAGATCTAAGTAGTGCTGAGTGTCGGCTGCATAAAAGTGATATTGAAAACCATCTGAAATGATTTGTTTACCAAGAGAGGCATTTTAGATAGAGAACAGAAGGAGACCAAGAACAGAAGTTTGGGGAATGTCAACAGAGAGAGGTTGGTTAGGCAAAGATGCATTATAAAAGGAGACAATGAACAAACTCTGGAAGAGGTGGGAGAAGAACCCTGAAACCCTGTTATAAAGAGAGAGAAAAAGTAGTTGATGGCCAACAATATTAAATGTTCTGCAAACAGGTGAGGAAGATTAAGAAGAGTGTAGTAACCTTTGTATTTTGCAACAAAAAAAGTCACTGGTCCCACGAGGTGGAGGGGCAGTGGCGGTGCACTCAGCTCACCTCGCACCCTAGCTAACCAGAATACCCCCCTCTCACCTTCTCTGTTCTTATTATCTCGCTTCTCCTCTCCCCCTCCTTGGGCTACAACCTCTCTTCTTCCTTGGGCTACACCCTCTCTTCTCCCTCTCCCTAGTTACCTCCTTTTCCTACTCTCACGTTTCTTTTTCTAAACACTATGCTTACCAATGGTAACTCGACCCACAGCGTTTACCAGATGCCATGACTTCTGCGAAATGGACTCATTGCAGAGTATTACATAAATCTGGAAGAGCAGAATTGTATAATCAACACACTCATTATAGGAACAAGGAAGATGTTAGTGGGCTCAAGTTAGAGCTTACGAAAACAAGACTGGGCTCAGATTTTGTAAATGGGCTGGTATTGGTTGGTAGGTTATACTCTATATCATATTATCTTTTACCCTAAAAAATCCTGGCAGGCCAACACTAACGCAAAATTGTACAAATGCGGGGTCCAGCTTAATCGATTTTAACGCAGATACTAGATATTTGGTATATATGTTTCATCTCTTACTGTGTCATTACGGAACCATTGTTATCTAACAGTAAATTAATATGTTCTTATGCCTATGTTAACTATGTTGTTACCTTGCCTTGTAAAAATAAAGAATAAAAAAAAAAAAAAAAAGTCACTGGTCGCTTTGGTCAGAGTTGTTTCAACAGAACAGTGGAAGTGGAAACCAGATTCAAATGTATCAAGTCAAAAGTTGAGAAAGCCTGGTGTACACAGCCCTTTTAAGAAGTTTGGAGGCAAACAGTTGTAGGGAATTAGAGCAGTTGCCGGATGGGGAGTTTGGGTCTTGGTTGGGCTTTATTAGGATTGGAGTTTAATGGTTTAATGCTTGAAGGTAACAGCAAAGACACAAGAGGAGAATGAGTAAATATTTTAGTCAGGAGCAAAGCAAGAAAAGGTGACAGAACAAATAAAACTGATAAAAAAATAAATAGTAGATGGGGTGGGAGGATAGAAGAATAGTTGTCACTTCTACATGTGCAGAGTGTATGAAAGAGCTTAAAGGGACACTATATTCATCAATGGAAATTTAGCTTAATTAAGCACTTAATTTAAGCATAAACATCATGCCTCTGAAGTTTCACTGCTCAATTCTCTGCCATTCAGGAGTTAAATCACTTTTGTTTCTTTTTATAGAGCCCTAGCCACAGCTCCCCTGGCTGTAACTGACACATGACATGCGCATAGCTGTCCCCCAGGCATTTTCCTAATAAACCCCATCAGACCACCCCCCAATTAAACATGGACACCGATATCACAGTTTTTATTAATGATAATTGTTTAAACATAAAATGTAAATAAAGGGTTAAAGTCAAACATACTTAACGACATTGAAGCCCAACAATTTTCCAATGTGAGGCATTTACAGACTATGACCCCTACGTAAAATACAGCAAACTTAAAACAACATTTATCATAAGACACAAACAGTTACCACAGCCACCAAGGGCATCTTTTTTTTTACAGCCACAAATGGCATCCTTAACCACTTGTAGACGTATACCGAGATACCGCTACACACCAAGGTTGAGAGCTACCGATGAGCTTGCACCTCCAAACAAATGCAAACATAAACCATAGTCGTCCCCCAAGCATATACCTAATAAACCCCATCGGTCCACCTGTAGAGATATACCGAGATACCGGTGTACACCAAGGTTGATAGCTACCAACGAGCTCGAACCTACAAAACCAATTCAAACATAAACCATTGTTCCTGAACAAAAACTTCCACACACTAACCAAGCCAACCTGCCCCAATTATCTTTATCCATCCCCGCCATAGCACAGAGCTTAACCACCTCAAGCTACCTGAGCGCCCCCACCCACCTATCAAGAGCCTGTCTCAATCCTTCCTGAAAACCCAAGTTCAAGAAGTCCATACCAACATCAGAAAGATGTACTCCATCTTACCAGAAATATCCGGGAAGCATAGCTTCCAATTCACCCCCCAACAACCGACACATAAACCATCAAACAAAACATCTAGACGTACCTCCGCTAAGTTAATCCCTTCAATACAGCCCAAAGCCGCATCCCATGAGTCCCATACTTTACTGTATGCTGCCCACGGGCTTGGCACCAATGACTCTCTGATTAGTCTTCCAAGCATGAAGTCCCGAGATGCCACAGCTCGTCCGGGCAAGCTAAACCTTTCGCCTGTGCTTCTGGAGCCTCTGCTGCGAATCTCTCCCACTTAAACGAGACAGCGCATTAGCGATTATGATCAAGAAACCCGGCACATGACGTGCACGAAAAACAATATTAAATTGCATGCAATGTAGGACAAATTGACGTAGCATCTGCACCACTGGTACTGAAGAGGCCGACAAATTGTTTACTGCGTCCACTACCGACATGTTATCTGTGAAGAAGACTTCTTTCTTGTCCCGCAATATGGGACCCCATAGCGACAAGGCTACCAGTAATGGAAACAGTTCTAAAAACATCAAGTTCCGAATTAGCGTGCCGGCCACCCAAGATGTAGGCCATGGCTCAGCGCACCATTGGCCTGCGAAGAAAGTGCCAAAACCAACACTACCTGAAACATCGTGAACAGCTCTAAGTCAGGCAATGAGACTGATTTCTCCCGAAATAAAGCCCGGCCATTAAACTCCCGCAATAATCTTTCCCAAATTCCATAGTCCTCCATGGGTCCTGACACTCTGATGAAATAGTGTGGTGACCGTACACCAATGGTGGCTTTAGCCAAGAATCTACTGAACATCCTCCCCACCGAGATCACCCAGCAAGCGAAATTCAAGCGTCCAATTAAAGACTGCAGCGTGCGTAATGTCACTTTCTTAGCTCCCTGTACCTCTGCAACATGTTCCCTAAGACCAACCAATTTGTCTTGTGGCAAGCGGTATTCGCCTGCCACGGTGTCGATTTTGAGCCCCAAGAAACTCAAACACGTTAATGGCCCCACTGTTTTGTCTCCCGCCAGTGGCACCCCACAAACATTAGCCACCCATTATAGCGTTCTTAAACCGATCCTGCAAGCATCTGAATTCCAGGGACCGATGCATAAGAAGTCGTCCAAGTAATGGACCACCAACTTAGTGCCCGCCTCCATCTTGACAATCCATTCTAGGAAGGTGCCAAATCTTTTAAAGTACGCACATGAGATGGAGCAACACATGGGCAGACAGAGATCAATGTAGTATTTTCCTTCAAAGAAGCAACCTAATAAATGGTGGCACGCGGGATGAATGGGCAGCAGGCGGAATGCCGACTCCACATCAGCTTTTGCCAACAGCGCACGTGGACCGGCCTTCTTAACCAGTTCAACAGCTTGGTTGAATGATGAATTGGAAATGGAACAGAGCGCCCCATCGATATCATCATTCACTGATGACCCTTTAGGGTAAGAAATGTGGTGAATCAAACAGAACCTACCTGCTTCTTTCTTGGGCACGACACCCAAGGGTGAAACTCTTAAATCCTGAATCGGTGGTTCCACAAAAGGTCCTGCTATCCGTCCCAACTGTATTTCTTTAATCAATTTATCGCGAACGAGTTTAGGAAAGTCACTAGCTGAATGTAGATTATGTAAACAACGCTCCGCCACCCTATTTTGAGACGGAATCACAAAGCCCCAAGTGAAACCGTCCAGAAGAAGTACCGCATCCTCATGGTTACCGTACTTGTTTAACCATGGGACCATCGCGGCGACCCTCACCGGCGAGAACCCCAGTGGCAGAGGATGATGCCGTGGCACCTCCAGTGACTTCGGCAGGTGCATTTTTTCCCCGCTTGAAGCATCGATTAAAACCTTGTCCACCGCCGCACCCTGAACATTCATGCTTAAATCTACATGCTGCCCCCACTTACACTGTCCCTCATTGAAGAGCCAGCCAGCAATATCCCCTCCTATGCATAGCAAACGAGGCTCCAGATTGAAAGGGCGCTGCTTTTTGCGCCATCATCAGTTTCATCCAGAGTGTCAGATCCATTTGATCCCAACGCATACCTGGATTGACCGACAGAAACTGATACTCGCAGGCCTGCAGCCTCTTGTCTTAGATACCTGGAAAAAGAAGACATCCTGGGTAGGCCCTCCTGGCCTCTCCCTGAGTCCCTGAACGCACGTGAACACTACTTGATCTGACGTCCTGGCCCATACGGCCGTACCTGACTCTGTTTGTTTCTTTCCAACCTGGGGAGCCCGCCTAGATGGATCTGGCAGTGTTGAGCCTGGTACTTGCTGCCCTAACTGTTGAGCTGTAGTGACTTGCTAGTCGAATAAAGTTAGGTGAGACACTGCTATTGCTGTCATGTCCGCTCCTATGGCCGCTCCTGGAGCGAGTGCGTGATGCATCAGCTACTTACTGATGAACCTGGGGAACTGGCAAAGCACTTAGTCTCTGTACAGTCCGTCGCGCTGGAAACCCTGCTGCTCCAATATAGGGGCCAAAACGTTCCTTCATCCAAGCTACCCCATGATCAGTCACCGCCGCCCAGACACGAGCAAGGAAGGCCTCAACATCCTGATCTGCATTCATGATCCTGAAAAACAAAAGAGAGAGCTCCACACCCACATGTTGCAACAACAAGTAAGTGGGAATTAGTTAAAAAGAGGGCTCTCCCTAAGATGGCTAAAATTTATGTGGCTTTAGGCCACCCCTTCCCAAATTCTATAATCCACTCCCCCTATCCATATACCTGGTTCCTCGCTAGGTCAAGGCCCACTCCACTTAGCTGTTCTGCGGGCTTCAGCCTGCATGAAAACAAAATGGTTTAATTATCAATCTGTTGTAACTTACTTTAAATTTTTTTATCTCCTTCTCTGTAAATTGAACTGTAGTTATTGTAAATAGAGAAGGCTTTCATGCCCAGTCTAACAAGCTATTAACAGAGCAGGAGTTAAGAAATTCTAAATTAAACAGAATTTGCAATAAAGGAAGTGTAACATTAGATGACTCTTTACAGGAAGCGTTTAGGAAGGTTGTGTTAGTCACATGGAGGGAGATGTAACTAGCGCTGTAAAAACAGGGTGATTTAACTCTTAAATGGCAGAGAATTCTGCAGTGAGAATGCAGGGGCATGATCTATATACATTAATTAAGCTAAAGTTGTTTTGGTGACTATAGTGTCCCTTTAAGGTAGAAGAGATTGAGTCTGTGAATGGGGAAATTAGTCTTGAGATATCCTTTGTCTTCTCTGTGAAGTGAGCTGTTATGTTTGGAGTGGCAGATTATTGGAAGGAGGAAGAGTGGCAATGGGGTGAAGTAATGTGTTGAAAGTGTGAAATGGGTATTTGGAATCGAGAGAGAGCGTGGATCTAATGGAAGTAATGTTGTTGGGTTAGGGAGAGTGTCAAGCTGTATGATCAAAGATTTTTAATGAAGAAAGTTTTGTATAGAATATGGCATTCTCCAGCAAGGCTCAGCTCATTCTCAAAGAATTTATGGAGATAGTACGTAGATGTATTGTGCAATGTTGCAGTTGTAATCTGTCCTTCCTGGTAAAATATTTCACAAATAAGTAAACAAACAAATAAATATCTATGAATTAAAACTTCCTGTCACTATGATTAAGAAAGCATTGTACACAATGGCAGTGTGTTAATAGTATTGTGACATCTTGTTTGTGTACAGTACAAAGCGTAGTTGCTACCATTTCAATAACAATTACAGGATTACATTGCTGCTGGTACTCATGTCACAAACCTAGAGAAATAAGATGGCCGGCAAAAGATGTGACTTTGGATGTATTGTGTGTGTATAGTGAATGCAGTATGTGTAGTGGATGCTGTGCATGTATAGTGAATGCAGTGTGTGTGTTGTGGATGCAATGTGCGTGTATAATGGATTAAGTGTTTTAATTCTTTATTTCTTTTATTTTAGTAATGACTGTAATTACAGAGTAGTATTCTTACTAAATTCTTGCAATATTCTAGTGGCCCTGCCACTAGTGTATAACAGGTATAAAGAACAGTAAAATTGAACAAATGTCATTCCATGGCAGGTTAGAGCATTTTTTTAAATTTAAGTTTTTTCCCCTGATCTTGCTAGCCCTGCATGCGTGCCACATCAAAGGTTGTTGTGGTCATCCACAGCAGCGCTCTGACAGTATTTATATAAATATATACAGGGCCGGTTCAAAGATTCCGCCCTAGGCAAAGATCCATTTAGCCGCCGCTTCATGTCACACACTCACTGACACACACACAGAAACTCACTGACAGACACACACACACTGACAGACATACACTCACTCACTGACATACACACACACACTCTCACTGACAGACATACAAACTCACTCACACACAGACACTCAGTGACAGACATACACACATACGTCATATTCCGGCTCCCAGCATCAAAGAGGGCGCGCCAGGGAGGAGTGAGAGGCTGCAAGAAGAGCCTCCCTCACCGCCTGCCTGCTCCATCCCCCTCTCCTCCGATCACCAGTATTTGACAGACATGCACTCACTCACTGACAGACACACACACACCCACACTCACTAACACACACATACACTCACTGACAGACATACACATATACTCACTGACAAACATACACTCACTTAGACACTCATTGACATACATACACTCACTCACTGACATACATTCACTCACTGACAGACATACACTCACTCACTGACAGAGACACACACACACACTTACTGACAGATATACACTCACACACCCACTGACAGACACACACAGACACACTCACTGACAGACACACAAACACACAAAGACACGGTTGTGAAAGTTTGAATGCACACGTTGTGATCGCTACACAGGTGCATCAGGTCCTCTATGAGGAACATTGGATTGGACATTGGCGGAGGAGGTCATGCGCCGAGGCACTGGAAAAGGGTGAGTAAAACTTTTATTTATTTTTTATGGTAAATGGGAATGATCCATGTAGAGCTATGGACAGGGACACTATATCTTTAGGAATACAGGTTTAGTACAATGGCAGATACGGGCGGGGATGGGACAACGGCCAATTCCCCCTTCCCCCTCCTGAGATAATACTGCAGCTCCTTATCAGGGGCCCGGTCGGTGCTGCAGCCCTTTGGTAGACTGGGCCCCATTAATGTTGCAGGGACTGCTGGGAGAAAGTGACTGTTACTTCCTCCCAGCTTACAGACCGCGCAGGCTGGGAGGACACAGATGAAAACACTGAGAGAGGACGAGGGAGAGCTCTGCAGATTCAGACTCCCATCAGGATCAGCCGGCCCCAGGAAGTCACCTCCCTGCAACCAAAAGGTATGGAAGCAGGGGGGTGGTTAACATTTTGTAAACTGCAATTTGTGTGTGTGCCAGTGTGTATGTTTAGGTATGTGTTAGTGTTTATCTGTGAGTATGTGTGTGTGTCAACGTGTATCTGTGAGTATGTGTGTGTGTAAGTGTGTATCTGTGAGTACGTGTGTGTGTCAATGTGTATCTGTGAGTATCTGTGTGTATCTGTATCAGTGTTTATCTGTGAGTATGTGTGTGTATCTGTGTATGTCGTGTATCTGTGAGTATGTGTGTGTATCTGTGTATGTCGTGTATCTGTGAGTATGTGTGTGTATCTGTGTTTATCTGTGAGTATGTGTGTGTGTCAGTGTGTGTGTATGTGTGTGTGCCAGTGTGTGTATGTGAAGGTGTGTGTGCCAGTGTATGTATGTGTAGGTACATGTGTGCCAGTGTGTATCTGTCAGTGTGCATGTGTAGGTATGTGTGTATCTATGTGCCAGTGTGTGTATATGTGTGTGTGTGTGTGTGTGTGCCAGATTATGTGTGCAGGTATGTGTCTGTGTATCTGTGTGCCAGTGTGTGTATGTGTGTATCTGTGTGTTTGCCAGTGTGTATATATGTAGGTATGTCTATCTTTGTGTGCCAGTGTAAGTGTAGGTATGTATGTGTGCCTGTGTAGGCATTTGTTTGTATCTGTATGTGTGCCAGTGTGTGTATGTGAAGGTGTGTGTGCCAGTGTGTGTATGTGTAGGTACATGTGTGCCAGTGTGTATCTGTCAGTGTGCATGTGTAGGTATGTGTGTATCTATGTGCCAGTGTGTGTGTATCTGTGTGTGCCAGATTATGTGTGCAGGTATGTGTCTGTGTATTCTTGTGCCAGTGTGTGTATGTGTGTCTCTGTTTGTGTGCCAGTGTGTGTATGTGTAGGTATGTCTATCTTTGTGTGCCAGTGTGTATCTGTGTGTGCCAGTGGGTGTAAGTGTATGTGTAGGTATGTGTGTGTGCCTATGTAGGCATATGTTTGTATCTGTATGTGTGCCAGTGTATGTGTCTGTGAACGTATGTTTGTATCTGTCTGTACGTGTCAGTGTGGGTACGTGTGTATCTGTGTTTTATTGTGTTTCCATGTCCCTGTGTGTGGCTGCATATGTGTACAGCCTCCTATCTACACTACACACCCTACATTAGAGCCCCTTAGACCTCCGCTGCAGCCCTTTCCAGCGCGTTACAGCCCTTTCCAGCGCGCTACAGCCCACCACCAGTGCCTCTCCCGAGATTTGGTTGTGGATCCGCACTGGTTTAGTGTTTTCTTTCACACCTCACAAATACATATTAGCTAATTATTATAAATACACATAACATTTAAAATCCTAGAAAGTGAGACTCTTTTGGTGTTTTTATTGTGGAGATACATAACTCACAAAGCCATCTCTTCATCTTGGTTCTATGTTGGCCATGTTTAACACACAGGTAATATGCATTTTGCCAGCTGTGTATAAGTAGTATTTACTGAAACAGCAAAAGCTCTTATTTCAGCTATGTCCTAGAACAGAGTAAACCAGAAGAGCAACACAGAACAGCAAGACTAATTTTACATCGTTACACCAAAACCAAACACTGTGTCCCAGTACAAGGGGTAACCACAAAATCAGCAAAGTTTCAGTCTAGAAAGACCGCTCACAAAGCTTGATAAAGCTCTCTTTAGACTATATTATTGACTCTTTGAGCCCCGTTCACACTGATCCAGCATGTGCTGGTCACACATTACTGCAGACCCACCAAAGCTGAGGCAGGAAATATCCTGAAAACAAGTTATAATTCCCTAATAAGCTAATAGAAAAATGTGATAATGTAATACAATATAAACCAATGCATATTTTATTTTTTCAGAATGACCTAACACCACATAACGTATAGGAAGACACTATCTTTCTGATGAAGTTGCAACAGTACATGTCATAGGAGAGGCAGCATTGAGCAAAGCCCATTTGGCACCAAAAGGGTTAATATTCCTCCGACAATCCCAACAGGGAGGATGGCTGAGTTTCAAAGATGGTGACAGATGTGTCACCCGGTTAGCAGTCACAGACTGTGCCTCAGCTCCTACGTCGCCTCCTCGCACTGTGAATGGAAGCTGTGTGGCGATCAGCCTGTAGCCTTCGTTAGCATTCTGTGGATGGGCTGTGACAATTCTAGCATTGTGAACCTCCTTCTCCAGGAGTGACATCATGAGGCTGTTCAACCTCATATCAACTCGCTGAGCTTATCCAGGGAGAAAAATCTCTCCAACGCCCCCTCTTCTGATCACCTCACTCACCCGCCAGCCGTAACAGCTACGAACAAAATGTACAAATCCAGGCTACGCACGCCATCTCTTGCTTCTGTCGGGAAGGAATATGAAAATAAAACTTTTCTAATAACAGTGAGGAAAAAAAGGTGCTTAAAAGTAATCATTTTCTGCAGGTTGCTCACACTGAGTGCTCTTTAAGCGATCGTGCTATTATTGTAAAATGGTGCACTTTTGAAAGCCCACTAAATGCTTAAAAAAAAAAATAGGTCAAAACAGAGAAGAAATTGTTGCCCCATGCAATCTGCCCTCTTCCTACCCATGTTGGCAGAGCCTTAAATCTTAGATGATGTTCCATTTCCTGCAGATATCTTTAGCTTGGTCTCTTGTCCAAACATTTAAAGGGACACTATAGGCAACTAGACCGCCTAATGTGACTGAAGTGGCCTGGGTACAGTGTCTGTGTAAATGTTTCAAAGCAATCACATTCCAAAATTAATGGACTATGTGACTGTCGGTAGTGCTGACAGCAGTGAGTCAGAAAAGCCATAAAACGTAAAACCGGGCTTGAAACTCGTGATTTACTTGTTAATCTAGAAATATCATGCTTGATAAGGCTATATCACTATGTGAAAGATAAAACAAACATAACTGGTTTGTTTTTAATTACATGACAGGTTAATGGTTAGCAACAGCCAACCCAAGTTGCATGCATTACATTAATAACAGATGACAGTTGTGTCATTAACCCATTAGGTTCATTTAACCCCTTAAGGACAGATGCAATTGTACAAGTTCTAAATAAAAGCAAAACCTAGAATTTCAGCTATATGTCTGTTCAACCAAAATTTACCTCTTTCATATTAAATGCGCCCACACGTATTGCATATCATTTTGTTCATTTCATATCAAATATTTATATATGAGACACCATTTAACACTAATAAAAATTTTTTTTTAAAAATGTGATAAATTAAGAAATGTTGTTATTTTCTGCAATGCATTTTAACTGTGAATGTCATAATACTGTTACAAAAAATACAAAAATACTCATATTTGCGTTCAGCAATGTCTCTCGAGTACAATGTTGCCGCCCATATACAGGTTTTATGGGGTTGTGGAAAGTTACATGGTCAAATATAGAGCTTTCCCCTTTTCAGTTTATACACACTGAAGTTTGCCAGATTGGTTCGCTGGGCCTATGTTGCCTTTGAGACCATATGGCAGCTCAGGAATGAAAATTACCTTCACCATGGCACACTATTCTTAAAAGTAGACAATCCAAGGTATTTAAAATGGGGTGTGCATTATTTTTTAGTAGCCTCTTAGTCACAACCTTTGGCCAAAATTAATGTTTTTATTTGTTGTTTGCATTTTTTACACAAAACTGTCCTTTCACTGATGACATCATCATCATTATACATTTTACTGCTCTAAAAATCTAATGAAAACACAAACGTGCTCTGTGTTTAAAGGAGCTTATGAATACAATAAGGTGCAAAACAATTTGTGTCTCACTTAATTGATACGCCTACCTACACACTTGAAGCCAGGTCTGGGCTCCTAAAAAGGTTAGAAGAAAATTGTGTAATACAGTTGTACTTTGTAATTGAAAGATTTAATGAATAAGAGCCGGCTGTATCCACCTGTCTTTTTGTCTCTTCCTATATGAGGATATCCATCACATACGCTTTGGAAGAAAAGGTTGAGTGTCACCTGAGTACACTAAAGCCAGTTGAGCCTATCCCTAAGAGGCTCTTACCCATGTGAGTGTATCCATTGAGCACTTGTTCACTGTTTTACTTCAGGTAGTGTTGCACTATATGTGTTTTATTTTATCTTTCAGCACTGTGTCCTTATTTTCAACCCCTAGGGGTAAGTGTCATATCTATTTAGGCACTACAGACTTTTTACTACTGGTGTAGTTTCACCATATAGTATCCATTTCTATATTCTAAAATCTCATATTTGTGTTCAGCGATGTCTCACGACAGGGTCAAATATATGGTGTGCAAATTAAACTATCTGGACATTCTGCCTGGGTTGTCAGGCAGGTCCTTCAATATATAAGTAATACAATAACATAATTATGTAAACATAATTCATAAATATACACAGAATAATTTTAAATACATATATATAATTTAATTCTAAGTGTATTTTGATATAAAAAATAAATAAATATATATATAATTAAATATATTAATATCTACATAGAATGATAACAATAGACTAGAATGAAATATATATATTTTTATATATATATATAATATATAAACATTTTCATTATAAGTGTATATTTATGTATATTTTTGACATAATTATGTGCTTTTATTGATAATATCTTGCAAGATCTGCCTGAGAACCCTGACAGTCCCACTGCAAACATCTTTCAATTCGACAGATCCTCCGAGACATTTGATCGTGATGTCATTGTGGTCACATGACTTGGATCGTCGGGATTGGCTGCAGAATGAGTGCCTGGGTTGTCAGGCAGCCCACCAATTTGATCAGTTGAGGAGGGTAAGTATAGAGGCTGCAGGGAGGGCCCAACCATTAGGGTGCGCTATAGCGTTAAAGCCCTCCTTTTGTAGGAGGGCAGCAGAGGACACCCTAGGGTCGGGAAGGAGTTAAGGTAGTTCCATAACAGACATTTTGGATCCATGCCTCCTCTTCTGGGTGTTTTCTCTGGTGTTCTAAGTTTGGGAACATCAAAAAAAAATTCCTCTATAAAGATTTGTGCGATTTTGTTATTAGCTGCAGGGCTATCTGTCAGCCAGGCATGAATGTGCATCGTAATGAAATGCTCCTTGTACTCCTGTGAGAGCATGAATTGCAATCCCCCACCATGTATGCCTTTATCACATTCTGACATAAAGGGAAAATCTAGACCCTAAAGCTTACTGGAGTGCTTTATGTGTGAAGTGTCATCTTTTTCATTTAATTAACAAAAGAAATTGGTACTTTTATAAATTAAACTTGTTACACCCCCTTTCAATCAGAAAACTGGTCCTGTTACTTCCTGGTTTGGTTAACTCAGTGGAGCTAAACTCAAGAGGTAGCAGTTGCTCAGAGCACCTGCCTTGCAAACACTTCTCATTGAGCTGCAAGTATTTTAGGTATGTGGAGTATTGTTGTAATATTGCAGTGTGCATATAAACATTGAAGGAACACTATAGGGTCAGGAACACAAACATGTATTCCTGACCCTATGGTGTTAAAAAAAAAAAAATCTTGCCCCCACTGTTCCCTCCCCTCCCTCCCCATTTCTTCCCTAAATATAGTATCTTACCATTACTCCAGTCTACTGCTCCTAGCTCTGTCCCTGATCTGCCTGCTTGGCTGACATCATCAGAAGTGTTGGTCAAAGCCAATCACAATGCTTTCCCTTATGATTGGCAAGACTGTCAAGGAGGCAGATCAGGGGCAGAGACAGCAAAAGTCAAACACAGCCCTGGCCAATCAGCACCTCCTCATAGAGATGTATTGAATCAATGCATCTCTATGAGGAAAGTTCAGTGTCTGCATGCAGAGGGTGGAGAAAACTGAATGTCAGTGTTGCACACTGTGCAGCACTCCCCTAGGAAGCACCTCTAGCAGCCATCTGAGGCGTGGCCACTGGAGGTATCCCTAGGCTGTAATGTAAACATTGCATTCTCTCTGAAGGGAATGATTACACTCACCATAACAAATACAATAAGCTGTAGTTGTTCTGGTGACTATAGTGTTCCTTTAATGGTTAAAACTCATTAAAAATGCTGTTTTAAATGTATATGCTTGCAATGCACATTGAAAACGAATGTAAAACATTTTAATAAAACACTTTTTTTGGTTGAAATAACCCTTGCTGACATGGTTCCTCAGTAAAAAATAAATAAATAAAATTTCTCCCTGCAGCCCAATCCTCTTTTGGTGAGGTCACTCTCCCTCACAGCAGTAGGATGGATATCCCAAAGGCCAGGTTGAAGGAGGATTTGTGTGACATGCTGCCATGGGTTGTCTGTGGCCAACCTCCTATGCGTGCTTACTTCTGACGCAGTCTATGCACAGAAGTGTCATTATCAGCCCACAAATCTGCAAAGCATGGACAAGGTCATGGTGCTTGGATTAATCCTTTTAGGTTTACCCAGTATTTAACCATTGCAGCCTTTTCCTATTTGTATGAACTCCCCCACCCCCAGTCTGCTGCAATCATTGGCGTGATATTTAACAACGAATATTTAACCCTGTTTAGCCACCCCTCTTATGTTTCTAGTGACACAGTTTTACTAATCCTGGTGTGATATGTTCCGCCTGTTATTTCAGTGATTCTCTACTCCCCCCTCCAAGCTGACACAAACAGAGGAAATCGCAGGAAGGGACACGCTGTTACTGCTGCATTACTGAGCAGCTTTTTATATGGATCAAAATGGGAAATTGCAATGTCCTTCAGCCTCCGGAGGCATTTTAGACATTTTATCCCTAGTTCTGAGATTATTTTTCGTTCTGTGCTCCATGTGTCAATAATTTATTAAATACCAGGTTGGAGCTACAATGTATCCTCTATGTTATATATAGCTACATAGTTACATTGCTCAAAAGAGACATCCATCAAGTTCAGCCTTCCTCACATGTTTTTGTAACAAACTAGGAAAAAATTCCTTCTTGACCCCAAAATAGCCGTGAGATGTCTCCTTTGATCAAGCAGCTATTACCCCACTAAAATGTTATATATTTTTTTGTTTCTATATTTTGGTGTTATACTTGAAATTGAACATACATCTTCTAGTCTTTTTACTGGATTAAAGCTTAAAATTGGGTGGGCGTTGACCCTATCTAGTTTTATGCCTTCAATAAGTTTATTGGATTCATCATTCAGGGTTTTAAGTCTATTAAAGGACACTATAGTCACCAGAACCACTACAGCTTCATGTAGTGTTTCTGGTGTCTACAACCTGTCCTTGCATGCTTTCTAATGTAAACACTGCCTTTTCAG